CAAGTCAGGAGCTGGGGCACTACTGAGAATTGGATTTTCTTTTAAAAGGTTTGTAAGGCCTACAAAAGCTTTGGAGAAACTATGCAATTTACTTTCTTGCCTACACAGTGCAGTAATTATTACTACCAGTAATTATTGGCCTTTTCTTTGAAAGTAAAGCATGTGACAAACTAAACTTCAGGTAGGTCAGCAAAAGTACAAAGACACTCTTAAAATAGTCCCGGGCTTTTTGTTGAATCTTGGACAGGAATCAGCATTTGCTCAGACTTTGGAAGAGAGGGAGCTGTTCTCTGCCAGATCCAGAGCGGAGCCAGAGCCCCGGTGCAGCTCTTTTTTTCATGGAAGGTTCATCCTCTCAACCACCACTAACAGAGCTCTTGTATTTCAAGGTGAACCACAAAGAGCCAAGTCACCCTAAATAAAACAAAGTCAAGTGCTTTATTATGCAATGTCAGCCAACATTTCCTTGCCTGCCATGCTGAGGAATGGCAGGAGAGATTAGTTCTGCAGCCAGGTGCTGTTTCCCAGGTGTTTGTCATCTTCTCCTTGCCCCATCTCACTCCCTCACTGATTTTCTTCAGCAGTGTGTGTTCATTTACCTCTACAGTGACAGGTGATGACATACTCATTTACATTTTTGCTTTTTCTATTAATAGTATTGCTGTTACTCAAACAGCCCTTGCCACTGACCTGTCCACATCACAGCCTGTTACGTGTTTGTAGCTTTATGCTCAAATTCAATCATGACTTAAATTATTTAGAATTATTAAATTATTTAATGGTGCTTGGGGACATGGTTTAGTGGTGGGCTTGGCAGTGCTGGGGCAATGGTTGAATTTGGTCTTAGAGGGCTTTTCCAGCCTAAGCCATTCTGGGATTATTCCCAGGCACACAAAGTGCTATTACCATTTCTCCCATGCTATTCCTTGTAGGACACTACACCACAGCTCCATTCTTCTCACTGTCAGGATTTTCTCCCAGATTCCCTCCTGAATTCATCCCCAATCAGTGAAATGTTCCAGCGCCAACGTTCCTTTTAGTTACAATCCCTCTGCTGGCAGCTCACCCACTCATGTGAGTGGGAAAAGCAGACATCTCATTTCAGCCTCCTATTTGCTTGGTTAAATAGACCCAGTCATTCCAAACCCTGCTGCAGCCCCCACTCCCAGATCCTACAGCACAGCAGCTGGTTCCCACACCTCTCCTACTGGAACCCGCCTGGATGAGCTCCTGTGAACACCCTCCAGCCCACTCACACTAATAGGGCCTTATTTCTTCTGCAAAATGCCTTTTTCATGGCTGTGTGTTTGTCTTGATCAAGACAAAGTTTTCTTTTCTGTCCCCTCCAACAGTCCTGTGGCTTCATGGATAAATTCTCTGCTTGTACAAGAAAATATTCCCTCTTCCCACTGCACTGGTCTTTCAAGTGTATCATCGATCTTCCCTGTGAATAAACCAGCCTCTTCACCAGCACAAACGGTATTAGCTCTACAATTAGTGACTTATCTTTAAAGTAGCTTGCACCAAAGTGGTACCAGAACACGGGTTTGAATGAAACCATTTGCAGAAATGCCAGACTAAAAGGTAAGGTGTGCAAATGATCTGCTTTGAATGCACACAGAGGTGAGGAAGTCGTCTCTGAGGGAAAAATTCTTCCATAAAATTGTTAAATAGCTTCTGGAAGTCACCTACCCCTGGCTGGGTCTTCTCTGTGATGCAGAAAATTGGCATTATTAGAGATCTCAAATGGTCTCCGAGGAAATGTACAGCGTAACATCTGTTCCTGGGGCACTTAAAGTCTTACAGGTGAGGTAACCAGACCTACAGATTGTTGCATACATTAAAACTAACACCCAGTGCTTTGACAAGAAGGAAAATTGCTGAGACAGAGTAAATGTCTCATATATATATATATAAAAATATATTTATATATGATATAAATCCAATTTGACTATGTCCAGATAAAAAAAGAAGTGATTTTTGTTCATCTTTCAACACTGTGTGTGAAAAGGAAATGGTAAGTAATAACTATATCAATAAAAAATAAGTAAATGATAAGTAAATTTCATCTTAGACCCCTTTCTGTCTGATCTCCTCTAATGAGAAACTTGGAGCTGCACCAACAACATCAAAGGACAAATGAATGACATGTATTACAGTAGTTCCTCTCTGAGTATTTTCTAGGGGCAGGTTGGGTGGGATGTTTGGCCATGTTTGGCCATTCCCAAAACTCGGCTGGGAATCCTTTACATCGTGGTAATGAGGCAACACTTCCCTCGGGATTTTTAAGAACATCCTTAAGGCAAAGGGATCCAAGGTTTCGGAAGGCTGTGCATGGAGAGGTGACCTCCTCTTCCCAAACCTCAGCTTAAACTATTCCAAGGCTTTTTTTGTTTCCTAGAAGTTACAAGTAATCACTTTAAATTGCTTTTAAGAAAGCTGGGAGATTAGAGACAATTAGATAATGGGAAAATATGAGTGGAAAATAACCCATTAAAACATGAATTAGATTTTGACATTTCTGTATATTGTATTCTCTTCAGATTTCCAGAGCAAACAGGTACACGGTGACATTGATTCCAATACATTTTTAAGCACATGCAACACTGCTGTCCTATTTGTACAGTAATTTCTAATGCTGCCCAAAAACCTTTACATTGAAAGCATACAAGAACTCACACACACGTGCATGTATTCCTCCCAGCATCAGTCCTGAGGAAAAAAACTCAAATTTTACTGGAGAAACCAAACTCTGCAAGTACCTCTGGGAAAATAAACCCCCTTTGTGTTCTGAACTGCTTCCTGATATAAAGGCCTCGCTCTCTTTTGCAGTTCGGAGCTAAACGAGCTGCTGTTCATCAGATTGCAATGTCAGGAATTGGTCAAAACAGTCCGAGATTTACAGTACTGGAGACAAAAAAACATATTCCCAATAAAAAACGTGCTGGATGCAGATGAAGGATCACATGGAGATGCTCACATTCAAAACATAAAACGGAGGAAACAGAAGCACACATAGACTAGAAAACACATTTACAGCTCTTTAAAGACTTCTCGTTCATGTATAATTCGTGTGATTATACGGTCAGCCTTTTTATGACTCACATATGGAGGCCAACCTAAATAATAATACAAAAATCTTCTGAAATTATTTCTCATAGAAAGAATGACAGTTGTTGAAAAGAAAGAAATATTGTAAAAGCTCTTATATTGCTCTGAGACAATGTCCATCAGACTCCATCCACTAGATGTCAGTGGTATAGAACCAGTTTGGTGCAGATTTAACAGCCTTAAGTCCACTCGGTTTATTTAGTATTGTTACCTCGTCTGTGAAACACAGCACGTGTCAACTACACCAATAACCAAGTATTTATGGCAATAAACAACCTAAAAATAACAGTCTCATTTCACTCTCCCCCCATTTACTTGATTTGAATAGAAGGCTTAAAATCAGGCTTGTCATGCCAAAAAATGTAGCAAAATAAGACATAAACCAATTAAGTTCATCTGTTTTTCCTAATGCAGCAACACAAACTGCTCCCTCCAAACCCCAGCACTGCACACTCTGTCAGGTACTAAAGCACCTTGAAGATAAAGCTTTTTTATGTTAAATACAGTGTAGCTGATCCAGGTTGGAAATTATAAGGCACACACAATTTTGGTTTTGTTTTGTTTTGTTTTTTTTTTAAACACACATTCCCAAGTATTGTTACAATCGTGGTATTCTGGATGGCCCATCAAAGGACAAAAGGAATGAAAGTTCACAAAACGCAGAAAAAATACAGGAAAAAAATTCAGAAAAATGCCCAAAGCAAAGAATAAAACAGAACATAACACATTGATACAATGTACACAAGGACAGCAATGATCAACTCTTCTCATTTCTTTGGCCAACAAGCAGAGACAAATGATTGCAAATCATTCTTTGTTTTGCACTGTAAATACCTGACTTTATTTAGATACAATGATGTTTAGCACTGGATTGCCACAGTACCTGAAATAAATAAATAAAAAGAACCCCCACAGGCTGATTTTCTTCTGTGTTTTTAACAAAACCAAGCTGCCAAGTGATTGTTGTTGGGAGAATTATGAGAGAAGTAACAGGTAGCTACAAAAATTATGAAGTAGAACAACATCTGAGAAGTGAATAATAGTTAAGGAACATATGAAACCAAATGGTAACAGTTCTAGGCATTTATTCCAATATCTTAGAAAATAAAAATAAAAAATATTCTTCATTGCATCACCATTTAAAGATAGAAAAACAAATTTTTAACTTAAGCCAAAAGATGTGAATTGTTTCCTTATATTTTTTCTTTTTTTTCCATTTGGACTGTATTCCATTTTCCGGATTTCCATTTGGAGCCTTGTTTATTCATAGTAACAAACAGACCCCACTGGTACAGTTTTTAAGTCACAAGATGCACAAAGCTGGACAAGGAGCACTGTTCCCTTTTCTCCTCTGGAAAGCTGCTCTGCCCTACAATATCTCCAGGTCCTCAAAAAGAAAAAAGAAAAAAGAAAAAAGAAAAAAGGAAAAAGAAAAAAGAAAAAAAAAAAAGTAGTATCCCACTTTTCAGTGCCTTTTTAAATTGCAGAACAGCCCCAGAAGAGGACCAGTAGCACTCAGTTCAGGGCATGCATCCCCACCCCACGCTCAGCCAGGACAAAGAACATTCCATGATTATTCCAAATCCACCTTAAGGCAAATAGATATGAAGTTTTCTACCTCTTCCCAAATTTTTTTACTTTCCAAACTTCAATCATGAACCTGAAATTCAGTAAATGAACATTCAGCATAAAAAATGCTTTAACCAAAAAGAAGAAATAAACAGGAAACGCTTTTTCCCAATGATAAATCAATTATTTCCCATTAATTCTACCTACATTTCGTTAAAGCATTTTATGCATTTTCAAAACAAATTGCAAGTTTTTTGGCAACTTTTTTTTTTTAATAAAAATCCAGACAGTGTTCTCTGTTTGCAATCAGAACCACAACCTTAGTGCAATATTATATTTATTTCTTACAGTAATTTTGGTTGCCATACAAGAGTATTAAGGATTGGGGAAAAGTGCAAGTTACAGGAGCTTGATTTTTTTAATCAGTTGAAATAAGAGGAATTAAAGCACAAAAATTACAGCAACATAGATAACGTGAACACAAGTTGTTACACAAACTATAGCGAGAAACATATTAATATCTAGAAAAGAAAAGAAAAAATGTAATGGAAAAACTATCAGTATTTGTGGCTCATACACATAATCATCGCCAGATCGACTGGGTAATGCTTTTTAAGAACTGAGAGAAAAGAAAAAGAAATCACTATTTTTTTATTAACTTAAATACCACAAATAATTAACTTTTTGTGATATGTAAATTCTGTAAATCAACAGTCACATCTAGTCATTTTATAATATATGAATTAAACTTAAAATGTTCTCAGACACCTAGGGCAAGGAGTCTGTGCAGTTATACACAATTTACATCTTGTAAGATTTTGGTATTGTATACACAAATATTACAGAAACTAGGCATGTAAATGCAATTTATTTAAATTACAGTATATAAACAAAAGTTGATCCTAAAACCCAGAATATCATAGACCTCTAACGACTTGTTTTTCACTATCAAAGTAGCATGAAAGAAATGGGTCTTCTCTCCTCCCCCCCAACATTTCCAGACTGGTGAGAACACTCGGAGGGGATGTCGTTATCTGTTACTATTGCTTTCTGTAGCCAAACCATCTCCCAGTTAGAGACCAATTCATCTTGGCAGAGGTGTATTTTAGTGGTGAAAGTAGGTCCTCTCAGGTCTCCTCACCTTCACTTTGTGAGACACCGCGTAAAAAATCAACTCTTTTGTTGGCTCTTTAACCTGTTCAACCTCTTTTCTACTCCTTGCATTGCACCTACTCTTTCAGTACCTGAAAAGATGCATGAGAGCAAGAAACACACCTGTGTAAGAAAGGGATGATGTCAGCTGGAATTTAAAGGGTGTGTCAGCACTTGTTCAACAGAAATTCACCAAGAAGGTTGTGATTCAAAAGCAGCTTAAAAGTCAACTTCTAAATTTTCTATTACTACCATTATTCTCTAATGTATTTCTGGCACATGTTATAGAGGTAATAGCAACGGTACCCAAAGAAACAAAACAAAACCAAACCAACCAAACAAACAAAACAAAAAAAAAATACAAGAGCATGGCATTAATGGTTTATTTACTGAATTCTGTCATATCACCAAATGGAAGACAAAGATGGCTAAATTACCATTTTTTTCACTTCTTAAAGTATGCGATGGCCTCAAGTTGCCTGCATCAACTATCTACGTGGAACTGCCATTTTCTACACCACCTATGGAAAAAGTCAGTACTCTTGGAAGGAAAATGCCTTAGTACTTCTTTTTTTTTATTACAAGGTTCCTTGGAACTTTGAAATACAAATATAGCATAGTAAGAGATGTTAAGTCAAAATATTTGTTCCATAAAGGGGACAGGAGGGTAAATAAGTTGCTTTTTGTGAGTATCCAATGCGTTGGTAACTGTAACCACTTTTGAAGAAATATTCATCCTCCTCTGTAGAAGTTCTAGCAAAGATAGAAAATATAACACAGCTCTGCTGGTTCAGATGCATCCAAATGAGGTTGATTTTAAAAAGGTCAAGACTTTGTAATTATTCCACAGAAATAGTAGTAAACCACAAAAAGTTTTTTTTTGTTTTTTTTTCTTTGTGTTTTTTTTGTTTTGTTTTTGTTTTGTTTTTGTTGTTGTTATTTTTAACTTCCTAGCACTGAAGTGGCACAAAGGCTGCCCAGTAGACCAGCCACTTATTTTCTTAAAATATTGTGCTTATAAACTATCTGTACAACTATTTAAACTTGCAGTAAAGAAAGATATTTAAAATGCTAAACTTTATGTACTCATACTAGGGCTGTTGCAGACCTAATTACACATTTGTTTGTGAGCAAAAAATAATCACAATAAAAAAATTAGAGATAGGCTGGACCATATCAAGGAAAGAAAGTCAGGTACCTTGTAAAATGTAAGAGAACCTGAAAGTATGGTAGGTAGGCAGTTTAGCCATCCACAATCAATTTACCCACCTTGAACATCTTGAATATTCTGTCCATAAAGACCTACAAAACTCACAGATATTCAGAGGTGTTAATTAGAAGGGGAGTCCAAACATGCAGAGAGAGACTTGTTAACTTTAAAATTTATGTCAGAAAAATAAAAGAGAAATTTTTTAAAAAAGTTCTGTGAACCAAATGTGGGTGTTTTTCCTCTGCTGAACTGAAGTCTCCTGGAAAGCTCTCTCTGCCCCCAGCACCCAGCCCTGGTTTCTGGCAGGGTGAACACACCTCTCCTGCCAAAGAAAGGATGGGCAGTGTCCAGCTCCCCACAACACCCAGCCTGTGCCTGTCAAGAATCCAATAGCTGTTAACAGTGATAAAATGAGACATTGGGGCCCTCCCCAAACCTCCTGGGCTCTTGGAACACATGCATCCTGAGACATTCTACACCTCTTTCCATCTTGGCGTCACTCTTTCGCCTTTTTTTTTTTTTTTTTTTTTTAACAAGTTGAAATATTTTGATTTCTCACAGGCTGAATTCCCTCTCTCACTTAAAATACTGGCACTCTTCCCACTGACTTCAATGGGAACATTCATCTGTCTTTTTCCTTGTTTTTTGGTCTGCTGTTGAAAATAACTAAGCACTTACCACTCACTGAATTAAACAGCACCTCTCAGTGCCCAGCATATTTGAGTGTCTGCACGTGACACCACATTTTTCCTGCCTTGTGGAGTTCACTTTGTGACTTAGCAGTGGTTTAGCTGGTTGAAAACTGGTGGTCTCAGGTTCAAACTAGCTTCATTTTGTTGTACCTCTAAGTGTGCATCCCTCCCTGGGTTTAATGCAATATCTGCATTGTCTTACAGGTCAGGTCAATGGAGCATATATTGAACTTGTTCTGCCACCTTGGAAGAGTCCGAAATATAACTGCAGAAATAAAGAAATACCAGGTAAAACAGAGCAAGGTTACCTTTGAACTACTTCCAGCAGAACAACCAGCTTCACTGCCAACAAATAAGAAAGCTAAACCATAAAAAAAAGTAACATGAACTCCTGACTCCTGCACCCGTCTCAGAATCGTGCCTCTGCTCTTAAAATAACTGGGTTTGAATGGTAATGAAGCAACCTGTCCTCTTAAAATGAGCCAAGGACTGGGGAAGGAAGCCTACTCGGAGACTGAAGGTCAAGAAGAGAAAAAAATAAAATTCAATTATTTTTTGTGGGTTTTTTTCTTTTTTTTTTTTTCAATAAAAAAAGCCCTGAAATGTTTGCAATTCAAAATGGAAAGAAAAGCAGTTTGCCACAGTCCCAGCAAAACGCATCAAGAGATAGTATTTTTGAAGTTAACAATCATCTCTCTCTCATATCTCCCCACAACTTAGAAATAAAATGGCCCCACTTCTTTAACATCTTTAGATTTGTGTTTGGGCATGTAGCATACAGTCTGCATCACCTGAGTACCAGGAATTCAACTGTTTTCCCCCTCCCCACCCCCCAGTTTTGCTGGCACTCGCAGACACACAAGGCATTTGGGGTATGTCAGTACCAGCCCATCTCTAGTTATCAACAGAAGTTTGTGAGGCGAAATAGCTATTCTTATCTGTCCAGCAGCTGCTTCAAAGCTCTTTCTATGTTCATTCTGTGCCCAACTCTAGTCACTCCAAGGTCTATCAGATCTTCCTTCTGTAGATTTGGTAAATGTGTGCCATCTATTTCATTGTCCATAAATGTTTCTTTATGTTCACCTAAGTTTAGACTTTCCAACCAATCTGCCACATCTGGTTTAGTCCACAGGTGGACAGGCTTAGTTGTAAAAGGCTTATTTGAGATTGGCTGTTGTAATATTGAGGGAGAAGGAGACCTGCTGCGCCCTGTGGTCAAGCCAAATAAGTCCCCAGAAGGGGGCTGGCTGGGTAGGCTAAATACATCAGACAGAGTTGGAGAAGGAGATGAAGCTGAAGCAGAAGCAGTCAGAGAGGCAGGTATGATGTCTTTATTAATCTCTGTTGGTGAAACCACAGGGCTTGGAGCATGTCTTGCTCCTGAGGTCCTACTGTCATAGTCTGGGGACCTGCTCTGCAGTGTGATCGGCTGGCTGGCTCCTGGTCGGACAGTGAAAGTGATTGTTGTACTTCGTGTACCTGAGACAGTACTCATGACTTCCGTGCTCCTGCAATTGCAAACAGAAAGGGAGAGTTAGATCTGGCAGCCAGCAGCTGCAAGGCTCAACACGTGGTACTTACTGCATGGGAATGCTCAAATATTTCCGTTTTTTAATGAGTTAAAAGTATAAAAAACTATATTATGAAATCTTCCCCAGAAAATAACAACCAATGGTAAGCAATAGTTCAAAACAAAACCTTTACTTATGAGTTCAGAAAAACACCTCCCAGAGCAAATTCTTCCTCTTTGAGGCCACACCAAATTAACTCCTGGTTAAATAAGAAACACCAAGTGGATCAAACTCTTGTGCTCCCTGTGAAGTGTGATCAGGAGTTGACCTTCCCTTCATCATGTGGAGGGCTGGGATCCTTCAGTTCAGCTTTAACCCACTGGTTTTACATATAACATAGTTAATGATAGTTGTAGAAAGTTTCAGAAGCAATGGACGTTGGATCTTTGGGCATCTACCCAGTGAATTTTACAGTCTGTTTGTACTTTAGGGTATGTTTATAGTCCCATTTGTTCACTGAACATGCCCCACAAGCTCCTCTTACTTCCCTTTCTATTCAGCTGGACTTTTTGTGCTTTAAACATGAAACACTCCCTCTAGGGTTCCTAAAAAGACTTTGTGACCATTTCATTCTACACAGAAATTATACTTTGGCAGTTGCACTACAAAATTAAGGAGACAAAATCCTTGCTACTGCGCATGCCCAAAGGTGATGTAGTTGTGATCAAGTTTTGACTAAAGAAAATGAATTTCAGATTACAAACTAAGCAGGCATGAAAGGCTTGCTCTGACACCCAGGCTGACAGGGTGGGTGAAGGAATAAGCAGGTCTGCTTTTGCCTGGTGGCTACAGAAGCAAATTTAGAAGGTTTGGGTCTGTTCATATCACAAAATGTTTAACCCCACAGCCCTCATTCCCATGAGAAGGGTCTGCCAGTCAGTGCGTGTGCTCTTCAGGACCTTCCACAGAACTCTTAAGCGCCTTAAGCTCCAGAGTTTTTTACTTCAAAAATATCCTGCCAACTGGGAAAACCTTCAGACAACTAATTTAAAGCACTTGCAGGCCAAAGGAGGGATTTATTTATCCTTGAAGCAATGCCATGGACTCCAGGGGATGATCTGGCTGATGCTGTAGTGAGATTTCCACTCCAGGCCCTGACTGAAGCCCTCTGTTCTTGAGTGCCACATTGCCCTCAGGCCTGACATGTCCTGCCTGGGCAGAACTGAAGATGACTTGAGTGCATGATGTCACATACAAATGCTTCCACTGATCCTGCAGATTCACTGCTGTACAGAAAAGAGCTTATGAAACGAAAGGAAGACCAGGATTCTGGAACCCCTACAGTTAAAAAGTGCTGGTATTAAAGAAACTGTGGTCTTACTCCTAAGTCACTGCTTAAACCTTTTGTGTTAATTGCCACCAAATGAAACACCAAAAATGATCCACACAGCAGGGGGCAAAGTCCACCTCTGTTCTCTCTGAGGTATGTCCCCCCACCACTAAATGGGCTGTATAATGAGAGACCCTTTTTTGTTCCTCTGCCCTGAGTAATCGTGGTGGCTTTTCTCCTGCCAGCAGAACATTGGGACTGCTGGGAAGGGAGATGTGGCACACAGGGTCATTCTGCCTCACTGGGTCTGTTCCCCAGTGCCATGTAGTTGGGAAGGCGGGGCAACTTGGCTTTAGTCACCCACATTCTGCCTAGAAGAGTGGTTAAAATTTTAAAAAAGATGGTGGTGCCAGCACTTCTTCGCCACCTACCCTAACCTGTTCCCCTTGGGACGTACAATCCATCACCAAAATGAAAAAACATAGGCAGCTCACCCGCGGCATTGATAAAAGTGAGGTTATTAATCCCTTTCTCTCACACTGCAGCCCCAAAAGCCCTGAATTGGAGACCTCCTTCAGTGATTTCTTGCTTGGCTGCTGGCTGTGGTGAGCTCTGACAGCCACACGCTCCCTGCATGCCCTCTGGGGCTCTGGCACACAACGAACCATCCCAGACACCAGGTAACTGCAGCACTGCCACTCCAACATTCCCAGCACACGCTCCTGACATGGGGAGTCCATTCAAACAAAGCTCCAACACCATGTTATTAGAAAAGCGCTAAGAATAATTTCTTGGAGCACATACATTTTATTCACAGGAACAATCCCACTGATTTGCACAGGTTGTTCCATATACTTCAATGGGAACAGGGGGATCTTTCTGAAAGATTGGTACTTTGCTTAAACCTCAGTAGGAACAACACTTCTGGCACTTGTGGCTTTGTAATTTGACAAAGAAAGGAAACACTTGGCAAGGTTTTGACTGTTTCCTGTGATTTTTCAGAGCTTAATGGCTCTCATTGTCTTCTAGCGCTGGAGCTAAGCATTCCTACAAATATAAACTCTATGGCAAGAAACTATTATATCCTACTAACCAAGGGAAGCAAGCTATTTCTACCTACTTTACCTTAGCATGAGGAGTCTCACATTAATTACTAAGGCATGATATAATTTTAAGTCAAAAAAAAGCCTGCTTTGAAAAAGGCTGGGGTAGTGACGGCAAGAAAAGCAGAATGAGCTTTGTAAAAATGTGGAAATGAATACCTGATCTTTACCTGCAATCACCCTTCTACTTTACTTTCCTGTCTTGCAAGTAATAGCAATTATGGTTTTGCATTCACCCCCATCGTGGCAACATCAAATGGATGATGAAAATCCATCTTCGTTTATGCTAGATCATGAAAGATAATTTTTTTTAATTGACTTACAGCTACAGACTCAGTGTACACCTTCTGCTTTGTAACTCAGTTTTGCTGGTTCTCTTCTATTTTTCCTCCTATAGACTCCCTGTTCATCCCCGTTCAGGAAATCACTGTCACTGTTCCTTTAAATAAAGCATATTAAACTAAATCAAACTCCCCCAAAGCGTGTGTTCTTATTTTAAGCATTCCTTAGCTAGTGTTCTCTACCCTTTCCAGCCCCATGGGCAGGAATACTGGGTGAGCAAAGCAACCCAGGCTGTGTGGTCCTTTGCCTTCTGTCAGCCTGGATCAAAGTGGTGGCTTCACATGGCTGGAAGCAGCAGCAGATCCAGGGGCATCTTCCTTTTTTCAAGCCATAGGCTGAGGACTGCTGACCATCACAGTAAAACTCTGGAGCAGAGATAAGAATTTTGTTTATTTTAGCTGATCCATGACGTTTCAATACCAGCTCAGTTTACCATGTGAGTTGTGCAGCTCTTCTAAAATTAACCCTTTTATCCAAATGCTCAGGAGCATTTCTTTAACATAGACAGTCTCAATCCTACAGCAACACCCCCTTTTCAAGGAGGTTATTAGCTCTCCTACACACTTGGGAACGTGGAACAAGTCTGTGGGTCTGTGTTCCCACGGCTGCAGCAGCTCTCCTGTCTAAGGACAAAGTTTTAAGCACAGCAACTTGAGGTCACTGCTGCCTCCAAAATTATTCAGCAACCTGCAAGAGTGAGATTGTGCTCAGTTCCCAGCTGCTGCGCTTCAGACAGCTCTGCTCCCAGCACAGCCCTCAAGTGAAGGTCCAAAAGTCTGCTGAAGCCCACAGTGGCACTTCCAGGCTTTCACTTCCAAGCCTTTAATTCTGAGATTACTTTTTTCATTCTTTTCCTCCTTTTTTAACCTGCCATATCAACTCCAGCATGTTATAGAGACTGTTGCACTGTAATTGTAACCCAAGGGAAAAAACAAGGATATTTATGTAACTTCTATGCCTCCTAAATTATAATTTAGAACATCTCCAGTACAATCTGTGGTGCAGACACAGCCTTGAAACCATCATCTGTCTTGCATTTTCTGGTTGATTTGTATCCTGGTCAAGAAGGAGCAAGCACATTCCAGCTGGAGAGCAGGCATGGTTTGCTGCCTTATGGGTTTTCCAGATTTTCAATAGGAGTAATTTCTTATGCCTTATTTGATCATCTGTTATCCTAAACACATTAAATCCATATTAAACCTGCCAAACCCCAAATTTCATTTTAAAAAAGGTGAAAAGTCTGATAATTATTTTAAATAAAATTTGCTCTGTTAGAATCAGCATATGGTAGTAATTTATAAACATTTGCTGCTGTGAGACTGCACTGATTGCAATGCCCATTATGTTGCCTCATATTAAAATCAAAATATATAACCTATGTGTCACCAAGTATAAAAGCCATCAACGCAGCTCGTAGGCAAGAAATTATTTTAAATTTTAAATTATATTTGCAGGATTCAAATTTACTGTTAACTTAATATCAGAAGCAAATCAGTGAAAGAGGGTATGGTGGGGCAGCTCCCATGGAAAAACCCCAAAAAACATCATGCTCAGCTCATGGGAGCTGTTTTATCCTGCAACTTGCCAAAAGACTTGCTGGTTCTGACACAGTTCTTCCATTCTACCAGAGAAAATATATCTTAACAACCAAGAGAAGCAACAAGTGGGTCCATCACAGAGGTACTGAGAGAAATTAACTTCTCTGATTTTTGAGACCACACAAACCCCAAACTTCGCCTTCATCTCTCCTAGTATTTTTACTTTCTTTTTGGACTGTCAAGGGAAAATTGTATGGTAGGAAAGTAAGACAATAATTGTCTGTTTTGGGGGAAGATGAAGAACAAGGGCTGACATGATGACTGGCAGGATACAGAGCTTCTCATAATGGTGTTATTTTAGGGAGAAGAATTGAGAGATGTTTGGTGTCTGTTGAGAGTAACAACGCTGTGCAGTTGGAGGGAAGAATAATCAGGAGGGTCTGTAGGAGCCTGTCTGTTCCAGAGTTTCCATGCGAATAACACAGCGGTCTGGAAATCAGAAGAAAAGGGAGGCTGCTGATGAGGGGCACAGTCCCAGCCCTCTCTCCTTCCAGAGTGGCAGGGAAAAGGGGAGCTGGAAGGGGAAAGGGGGAGAAATCCCACAGACTCCAGGGAGAAAAGGTTCAACAGTGACAACTTAATGATATCAAGGGATGGTTTGTCTTTACTTTTAGCCTCACACTG